TGCTGCTCTGACAATTGGCTTCAGAATCTCCAACAACCTTCCCGTTTAGGTTAGACAAGGAAGTATGTCGGAGTTCACACTAGTGGGCGAAAACCCCCGTTTTCATGTATACAGAGGGACTTCTTGCCACAAATGTAGAATTACAGCAATTTCTTTACAATTAACTATCCATTAAACATCAGTAGACTCCGCCGTACATTAAACAAACTCATCATAACTCTAATTCAAAGCAAGTTGAAATGTTGCCACGTTGACTTCTATCTTATCAGAGTTCCATCTGCTCATCTGACGCCCCGGCCAATGTCTTCAAGATCTCAAAATTATTTAAGAAAATAGTCTGCTTGGATGCGGCTGCAGATAGTGTTGATGGTTGTTGTGCCTAGACCCACATAGCTACAGTGCACAGCTCCAGTTATGATGGTCACGCAACTGCATGCATTTGCTCTGTTTGCTCCTGCTTTGTTGAGTTATTATAATTAGTAAGCAATAGTCTAGGGACTATAAGTAGAGAGCTTTCCTCCACAGTATATAGAGCAAGCAATTCAGTCTTTCCTCATTCTACAGAGATCATTCTCCACTCCTCTTCTTGACCTATCCGGCCCAGCAGCACATCTGTGATCACTATCAGCAAACTCCCACAAATTGTATGTACACTCGAATCTTAGACCTATCATAACAATGGTTCTACTACTTGGGAAACTGCAGGATAGCTTGTGCACTGTGCTGTGTGAGAGGTGCTGGAGTCCTGCAGAGCGGCAGAATGCTTAACGCATCCAGCTTCTGCTTGGCAGCGGATGCGCGCCTCAGAGAAGATCTTCCGGATGGCGACAACCTGTGATTTTGTCTTCGGAGGATAAGAGGATTGTGGCCGTAGCTCACAAGTTGGATCGTCTGCTGGATGAGGGCCGTGACAGTGCACATATCGCGGAAGGTAGGTATGTCCAGTTGGTGCGGCACAGAGGTTATTGTGGTCCTTCTCTGTGTGTTGGATGGACCCACAAAGGCGGCATCTTGGGGCAGAGGAACAAGCACGACTGTTGTACCAAAGCCAGCACGTCCTGCACTGTACTACCAACGAGCGTTTAGGAAGGATTTGTCACAAACCATCACTGGGATGTCGTGTCGCACCCAGGCAACCGAGTTATGACGTGCATACAATAACACAATTTAGGTATTGTAATGGTTACAGTGTTGTGATAGCAACAGTTGCCATTCAGAGTACTAGTTAGTTACTGTGTTATGGCCGTAAACTACTACACCCTTGGTTATAGTATTGAAGCTCGTGTACTTTAGGAAGCTCTAGGACTGGATGTGTACTGTAGCTTTTTGTCTTGTAAATTACTCATGTTTTAGAATCTAATTATTAATCTAAATATCTCGGCCTCATTATCAGCCTCTGTCTCCGTCTTCGTCTTCGTCCTAGTTTTCGTCCTATTCTTCGTCCCCGTCTTCGTCCTCGTCCGTGACAGGATTCGGGTGATGGTGCGGCACCCAAAGAGATAAAGAATACGCGGAAGACGGCTATGCTTTTGAGGAAATCGAACAATCCAGGTTGTGTCTGGGCTGTCTGGGTTTGTCTCATTATCCTGGGACGGGAGTACGGAAACGAGGGTAGCGCTAGCTGCTGTTGCTACAGCAGCTATTACGGTTTCGGTCGTGACTGGTTCGAGGCAGTATTGCAAGTTTTGGTTTATTGTCCCCTAGAATCGAGGGACATTATTAATCCTGCATGACGTCCAGGGCGAGGCTTTCTCAATGGGAGCAGTCCCAAACAGATCAGCTGTTTCCAGTTTCTCGTTTAAGGCGTCGGCATTACCAGCGCTCGGGCGGAGAGCAATTCCTGTCTTTGTGGACAAAAAATTTGATAGAAGTTTACTTTGGCTGCCAAGCTTAGACTTTAAGTGCGTCTGTATTGCTTAGCCCGATGCGTTGCGCAGAGAACTGTTGGATGGGAGTCGAACGAACAATCGGTTGTCTGGTTTAGCATTTTCAGTTCGTACTTGAGCATTTAGCTTCCTTGTGGAGGGAGGGGTCTTCTGTGCGCCTCGTTTGGCGGCACCCGCGTAGCTTTTGGAGACGTTTTATTTCGCTGTCTTCACAGGGCTAGATATCTCGATAGTTGAGGTACCATGCATCTATGCGTTGAAGTGCTTAGCAGAAATAGTTGCTAGTTGTTATGAATCTACTTATTGGCAGATTTTCGAAGCTGTTAAGCTGCAGAGGTCGAGTCGATTTCGACGAAGACGAATTATCGAAGGTTCGAGGTTACAAAGTTACGAAGGTCGAAGGTGCGAAGGTCAAGGTGCGAAGGTAAGAATGAAAGTAATTGAGGCTCGAATTATCAAAGGTTACGAATTCATATGTTCAGATTATCATGTTGTCAAAACATCGAGTTCCTGTGACGGGAACCCCGAGTTGGTGATGATAATGTCGATTTAATAAACTGTATAAAGAAGAAAGAGAAATCTAGCTACAACTAACGGGTATTTATAATATTCAGCCTCTCAGTGATTGTCTTGACTGATTTCTTCACCCTAGGCCGAATACTTGCCACCCAGCCACATATTATCAAGAATCACTACGCTGTGACACTGATCTGGCCCCTTGGCTGGTAGTGCCGTATCTTCCAGTTTCCTCTATCATTTCCTTACAGTCTTACAACATGAATCTTCAACAATACGCTTAGGTATCCACATAAGCTTAGACAACGGCCAAACCGTAACAGTTCCCAATAAGCAAATTATACAATAAACATAAAAGAAACAAAATTGTTAGAACTAAAGAACAAATTCTAATTTCCAGCCTGAGCAAATCTAAATCCCGTTGCCTCAGACCTAGCCGAATTAAGAAGATAACCCATGCACCACCACATCCAGATTAAATCTAACAAATTCATAACACTATTTCTGAGGTGCAGTTGCGGAGGGCTTGAGTTTGAGGCTCTGGTAAAATAGCGCGGGCGTGAGAAGAACAATGTTTGTCGAGAAATCGGGCTAATGAGCCAAACAAAGTTTCTGCTTCACGAGCTCTCGAGGCTGCTAATTGAGCGGCTTCGAGGAGAGACTGTTGAATGGGGCCGGGGTTTTGATTTTCAGAAATATCATTGTAAAAGAGATTTTGATTTGAAAAGGAGTTTTGGGGGACGTCGAGATCAAAAGGTGGGCCTAAGCAATTTTCTTGGAAGACCATGATTCATTCTAAATGTAGTCGCAGGTTGTGTGTGGTTATGCTAGAAGATAAAAAGATTTCTGATACAGCCTGTCTAATTGGCTGAGTGATTTCACATCGTAACACTGGGCCGTCCGGCACGTGATAGTAGTCACGAGATGTGGACAGGCACGACGTTAATATTCAATCAGAATCAAAATCAAATAAATGGTCGAAGTACAATTGAGATTGAGAGCCATAGATAATTATAAACTAACTTCGTAAAATCTGATTGCTCATGCATCAATGCCCGGAACGTAACAGAGACGGAGCTCAGTGTTGTGATTATAAGCTTACGGTAGTCAAGGAGCTGAAGCTCGTGTTTAGCATTATGCGAAGGACGTGATAACCTTGTGGTCTGATTGTTGTGTATTGAAGACTATATTGATCTAATGAGGAGAAGAAGTTTCCCATGTACAAGATTGAGGTGTCCGTGTACTGAATATCACCCAGCACAGCTGCCACTCTAATCTAATGTAATCCTCATAAACCACACATTACAACACTCAGGGCATGCAGGTATTCTTGGGAACTAACAGGCCGACGCTCTAGCGAGTTCTATTGGCATCGAGCCCACCAGGCGCCACAAAGCCTCAGTCTCAAGGGCGACAAGACTCCTCAATGAGCTATGCGAGGGTAGCTTAGCGAGTTACTGGTATAGCAATGCTCCTGCACAGTACAAATTTTTCGCAATTCAAATGAATGGGTGTATGCCAAATGAAATAAGACTACTCGAGGTGTCAAGTGGCTAGGGATCTGGTATAGAGATATGGTGTTGGAGAACCACTGATAACATTTTCATTACTACTCGCTTAAATTTCATTAGATATGTAATTCATAGACGGAGCTTTGCTCTTTAGCTTTATAACCTTTTAAGCCTCGAGTTCTTGCTTGCCAGAATCAGCGTATCATAACACGAAGAGGTCTGGGCTTAACACTGACAGCAAGTTCAGCACACAGCGATTTTGCAGCCGACCACAGAAGATTCAGGCACGAAGATGTAGTCCTCCTTTGCGATTGCGGCAAGAAAAGATCCCTAGAGCACCCTTTAATATGCTGTGGACAGAGGGGCATACGAAAACTCCGCTCCAAGACTTCACGAGGTCTAAAGGGCGATGTTGGGTGGACACTTGGCTCAACAGCTGTTGCGCTAGCATTTGAAAGACGATACAAAGAGGTAAAACCGTAAGGATGTGCCATGGGGTTCCTGGGGGAATAAAATAAAGTGAAATAGAATAAGAATTCAAGTGCTACATGTCACTTTAGGTAGAGCTAGCTCTGGTCGTAACAGGCTCAGTGAGATACCACACTGCTGGCATAGGATAACAAGGAAGTCAACAAGAGAATTGAGCTGCGCAGGCGGGCCAAATGATCTTTGAAGGGCTCAAAAACCAGGCTTTCCCAGCGTTCCTTCTTAGCGTTAAATTTAAACCAAACTCCCTTGCGTCCACGAGACAAGGATGGCCCTTTAATAGGACACTAGTCACGTGCTATATAGATACTAGGACTAATTTTGATCCACTTTTATGTATATACTTTGTTTAGTGAACCGTCCTGTCTTTCTCTCTATATAGAGTACAATCATATTATTGTTTTGCCTTTAGTCAGAGCCTTTACTGAACCTTATGCTATCACAGGCCCTATAGCTATAAATAGCCCGGACACAACCAAGCTAGCCTAGCTGGCAACTAAATCACATCTATAGCCAAGTCCTTCTGTTGAAAAGACATCGCAAAAAGTCATTTCTGCGTTTGCAAGAAGGTAGTAGATTATATCTCCTCCTACCAAAATTTTTAGCGTGTTTTCATTGGTGGAAGAGAATCAAATAACGAACCCAGCCACGTTGCGCCAGAAGCTATTACTGGAAACTGTCGAAGTTGCCCTAGTCCAGGCAGTGGAGGTGGTAAACGATAAATTGAGGGGTAACCACTAATAGAACCTGGCTGCAAAGTAAAAGCCAATTCCACCGCATCACGAACAATCACATATAAAATTGGAGTACCATTACAATTCCAATAAGCTTCACCCGCTACTGTCTTCAAACTATTGAAGACTGCAATAGCAGACAAAAGTTGGAATGGTCTCATTTTAGTGGTGCTCCGAAATAGTCCTGTGATTTTCTGATGTAATTGTGTGAAAGCTGGCTGTATTTGAGTGGCAGAAAGTTTGTGCTTGAGACGATATTGTCTCCAAGATATTTAACGGGTATTCCTATTTGGGAAGGTTTATGGAAATTGTATGAGGGACGAAGTTGTTTGCGGGTTGGCGAGGAATAATATTCTGAAAGGGACAGAGGATGAAATAGAAGGAGTTGCAAGGACTGGCCTTGGTGTACTATATATTACTGATACTATGATGCTTTTAAACGGGCATTCTTGGCGCCAGATATTACTATTATCAAGTGAATTGTTTCCTATAGACGATTATCAATAGATTCCGCACGACAACTTGGCACCCGAGAGAAAGCAAATTCTCAACACCTGTCAGTGGTGTCCCCCACAAATCTCTAGCTCTCACTGTGAAGTCTGTAGAGCCAAGACTGAGTAATACCCTGGTCCTCACCACCATGAGGATTATGAATCGCTTTTGCTGTATGAATTGTCTTTATCTGTCACCACAGCCCTCTATCACCATCAGATTCGATGGTAGGGTTGGAAACCTACTCATCACCAACCCTTGATCATGCAGGAAAAGCCATCCTGTGGGTTTCCGGAGTGGACCCAGCACCCGATGCGGTGATGATGAAATGGATCAATTTTATCTCTATTGTTGCAACAAAGGGAGACTTGGATGAATATGGGCGCCTCATGTGGTCCCGGTGTCTAGGCCTCGCCTGGCTGGGGCTGCAATTTTTTTGAGACTTTTTCCTACGCACGCAGTTTCCATTGCTACCTTTTTTTGGGGGGGTAGAATGTCGGTGAAACATAAAGTTATACCAATTCGGCGCCGTCACAAAGTCGGTGAATAAAGTCAATTAAATGGTATCTCGAAATACATACAACGTTGCCTCCTTCCTCTACTCCAAGCGCCTCGCTAATGAGCTTAATCAGATCCCTGTCAGAGTCCCAATGACATCCTGAACATCGCAATTACACAGAACAATTTATAACGCCCAAACATAATCCCTCTACCAACAAAGAAGGTTGTGTGGAAAAGGAGGCCGAATTCCACGGGTAAATACTGAGTTGAATGGCTATTTATCACGGGCAATATATCAATGATCTTTCAAGAAACAAAAGATGACAGGAGCAGTGTACAAGGTGCGGCCTCAGCCAGAGAGGAGCCCATTGTGCTAGATATTCTGAGACTCAAGCAATACAGTAAATACATCACACACAGGCGCTTTCTAACAGGTTTGGCCCAGCTACCAAGGAGCAGCAGTTTAGGAGTGGATAAGCTGGCCATTACTAGGGCAAAAGCTAATTGTTGAGACCTAGAATATAAAATATTATTACAGGGTACATGATGTATAGGTAGCCGGCAAAGACGTATTCTTCGCCTTTCAGTGATGCCGGTGTAATCGCTCAGTATGCTCTGCATATCTGGGATAGGCAGGAAGAATTTCATCCGAATCTAATCAACTTTGAACTTGATTGTCGACTTTGTATTTTGGTCTAATATCACAGACACGGAAATAGATTCATGAAATTGCTTTATGAGAGGCTAGGATTGATTCCGATAAAATTTGGTTGAAGACTTAATTGGAATAGTTCCGGAAATTGTAAGTATGACATACCAAGTATGAAGATGAGTTAGAGTTATGATGAATTTGTTTAATGTACGACGGAGTCTACTGATGTTTAATGGATATTTGATTTGATTTCATTTAGCCCGTTCAGGTACCCTATGGGCCCATGCAGAAATATCTAGCTATAATATTTACACAGGAGGAAACCATATTTGGTAAAAACCCCCACAAATGTCTGTCTCGTGTCTATATGATTTCCGAGGTATCCTATTGGAAATGCGCTTACACTGTACGTCCAGTGTGAATATCGTCCTATCCTTTTCCCGATCGCTCAATCCTTTCGCTGACTGCTGTCTCAACTTCTTCTGCAAGCCGGAACTGTTCAAGCCAGCCGTTTGTAAGTATCCAATCTGTAAATCTCTTCATGTCTTCCGGGCTGTTCATCATAGCTTCGAAAGACCTATCTTTTGCCCGTTGCAGCACCTCTCCTCTTCCCTTAGCCCACTGAGGACAAGCCATGACCATATGTTTTACGTTTTGTGACGGATATCCACACTGGCACTTTGGATTTGCCACCCCAGGGACCTTTCTTCCACAAAGATAAGAGTTGAGGCCGATATGCTCACTTCTTATTTGTATTGCAATACTACTTTGGGCCCTGCTCAGGTTTCGGTGGATGTTAGATGGTGTGTTTCTGTAGGCGATTCTTTTTCTACCTGTTTTCTTGTCGGTGCTTATACTTGCTGCTGTCGATGTTTAATGGATAGTTAATTGTAAAGAAATTGCTGTATTTCTACATGTGTGGCGAGAAGTCCCTCTGCATACATGAGAGCGGAGTTTTCCGCACACTAGTGTGAACTCCGACATACTTCCTAATCTAACCTAAACGGGAAGGTTGTTGGAGATCCTGAAGCCAATGTATGCTGTCAGGCATCTATTGGCTAATAACTATTCATGCCAGTGAGTGATGATATGGTTAATCTTATCTGATGGCGCCAGTGCACATTATTCTAATATGTACTATTTGTCTACTGCAGTCATGTTGCTGCCTTAATTACAACAGACTTGTCCTACAATTTAGAGGCTACAATGTGTTGTGATATGATTATTGCATTTACTCTAAATTTATTTCTGCCAAGTGCCAGGGATACAACACATCTATGCGAGTACTGCACAGCCCTACATGGCTATTATTACGATCGACTACTGAGGCGCAGCTCTATACAATGGCATAGAGTAATGTGGGATAGTATTGCATGGAATTAAGATTGTAGTACTTCATGCATAGACGGTGATGTACTGTATTGCGGGTGCCAAATATGTGTATATAAGTCCTATCTACTTCTGTGATATGTAGAATAATATAACCAAGCTATTCATCATATCGTCAAGCTCTGATAATCCTTATCCACCCTCTGCACTATCCCTAGAATATTCAACATCTCATACCTACTCATACCTTAATTACAACACAATGTCTTTATATATCTACGTATTTACCCCCATATTCACCATATCCGCAAGCCATTCTAAATCTAGCGTGCATAGCCTGATTTATCTCATGGTTCTGGGTTGGAGCTATAGTTTCCGAATAGCAGTATTCTTTTAGCTACTACAATACGTAGCAGCTTCAGATATAGTTTACCGTGCAATACTTCCACCTGAATTACATGCCTCCTTGATATGCTGCCGGCTCGGTAGTCAGTGAGATGTCTGAAGCTAAACCTTAACAATAACCTTAATTACGAACACGTGAATACCTGAGACAGAAGCCTGCAATCTAACACAATTAGGTTAGGAATTGCTTACTACAACCTAATCCAAATAGAATCGAAGTCGAAAGCCACCTCAAGCACACCTCCATTTGACGACTTCTCGAGAATGCCTCTCTTACCGTACTCATCTGAGTCCTCAACCTCTCTCTAACTACGCGTTATCTCACCTCGACGACCAATAAAGGAGTTGCTCCAATTGAATGCAGGAGCTTGCCCCATATATTTCCAGCCATCTCTCACTACATATTTACTACGCTTTTTATACCTGCAAGGAGGAAATCAGGTCGAAAAATACAAAGCCTGGGTCTTGGCTTATGGGGGACTGTTGCTCTAATGGGACAAACAACTTGAGGGAGAACAGTCGGCTAAGATGTGGAGCGAGAGGGGGATCAGGATTTTGAAGATCATGCTGGGACTGTTATTTTCGAGGAATTTTCATTTTTGTTCTTAATGTTTTGGTGATAGCCCACCACACCAAGTTACATCTGTCATATACCGTGCGGAGGTGTAGATGTTAGACCCAGGGCGGTGACTTGTATTGAAATTGGCGCTACTTGGTAATGAAGAGTCGCATTAACATGGAACGTAATAAGGTTCGTGTTAGATTTTAGGATAGTTGGGGCGAGCAAGTAGGCCACATTGTTGATACACACATGTTAATAAACGAGGTCATGAGAAGACAGAGGAATACCTGGATTGGATGCAGATGATTATGGATATGCGGATTTAATTGATGTAGCTGTAGTGCGAAGATGCGTTGGAAGGGACAGTGGTAAGATGGTTATCTATCTATATGCGGAAGTATTGCTTCCTTATATACACGTTCAACCCCCAGTCCTGATCACGCACTCATCACAGGTGCTTCCTACTCCTGTCACAGAAACCACTTCCATAGCCACTACCAATATCTCCTGATATAACTTACCATGGATACTGGTTGCTAGTGTGGACCTTCCGGGACTACAGAGCTACACACCATCGTCACATTATATGCTGTTGCCCCTCGGTAGCCATCAGAGTGATGTGTACCTCATTCTAGACGCATTGGTCTACCAGGCAACGCTCGGAAGTAGAGATGTTGCTAGAGTGATTAGGTCCTCAGCTTTGCTGTCAGTGCCCTAATATCATCTAGCATCCTGCGCCCAAATGTCCAGGTGCCGCAATAGTGGAAGCTCAATGAGACTCGATTGGAGCTGATCCGTGGTATTCACAATAACACGTCACTACAGATTCTGTACTTAATTCCACTTGGGCAGTCACTTGAATCAATGCGCTCTACAATCTCAATGACTGAGGCGTCATTATTCCCTTAATAGTTCTAGTATCACTAGCCACATTCATGATGACTCATACATTGACCGGCCCCCCAATTATTTAGCATAAACAAGTGAATTGTGTCCTTCACTTAGGTGTAGTATTTAGTTTAAATAGCGCTCTGATACTAAGTGGGTTTAATCAACAACTCTCCACTACAGTTTTCAGACTCTTCAATCTCCCAACTCGCTTCATTAGGTGATATTAAATACAACACTAACAGCTTAAGCTTCTCCATAAAACTTCTATTACAATAGGCTATGACCCAATACCCACAGAAAAGCATTAATATCTTAGAATTTCCCTTTTC